CTTAAAAGATCCCTAACCTGATCCACCTCGACCGAGGAAAAGTTGTCCTTTCTCCAAGCTTGCTTGCTTACCTCCAAGGACTGAGGAGCCTGAGGGCCAGCCTTGACAGTGAAGACTGAAGCAAAGAAGGCATTCAGTAGCTCCGCCTTCTCTGTATCTTCTGTCACCAGGGCACCCATTTTGTTCAGCAGCGGTCCCACATTACCCCTAGTCTTATGTTTGCTGCTGATATACTTGAAGAAGCCCTTGTTATCCTTGATGTCCTTTGCCAAACTGAGTTCCAGGTGAACCTTGGCCTTTCTAGTTGCTTCCCTACATGCTCTGGCAGCATTCCTGTATGCCTCCCAAGTGGCTTACCCTCTTTCCACATTCCATAGAGCTTACTCTTTTCTTTGAGTTTCACTAGAAGCTCCTTGCTCATCCATGCAGGCCTCTTGCCTCGTTTACTTGATTTCCTACTCACAGGGATGCACCGGTCCTGAGCACGCAGGAAGTGCTGCTTAAATAGCAGCCAGCTCTCTTGGACTCCCCTACCTTCAAGAGCCTTAGCCCATGGAATTCCTCCAAGTAGGTCCCTGAAGAGGCCAAAGTTAGCTCTTCTGAAGTCCAGTGTGGCAGTCCTATTTGTTGTTCTGCTTCCACCTCTCAGAATCCAGAACTCCACCATCTCGTAGTCACTGTAGCCAAGGCTGCCCCCTACCTTCACATCCTCAACCAGTTCTTCTTTATTTGCCAGCACAAGGTCCGGTAGCGCTCTGTTTCTTGTTGGCTTCTCCACCACCTGGGTCAAAAAGTTATCATCGATGTTCTGCAGGAGCCTCCTTGGACTGTGCGCACCTTGCCATGCAGTCCTTCCAGCTGATATCAGGATAGTTGAAGTCTCCCATGAGAACCAGAGCCTGCAATTGCGAGGCTACTTTTAGCTGTCTGTAGAAGGTCCCGTCTACTTCCTCCTCCTGGCTGGGTGGTCTATAGTAAATATCCACTACAGTGTCACCCATGCTGGTCTGCCCCTTAATTTTTTCCCACAAGCTTTCAACTTGTTATTCATCTGCTCCTGAGTGGAGTTCTATACATTCCAGTTGCTCCTTTACGTAAAGAGCAACTCCACCTCCTCGCCTCGTAGGCCTGTCTTTCCTATTGCAGGCGCCAGGTGATTCAGGTAGGGGACATGAAGGCTGATGGATGCTCTCAGGGCCCTGACACTGCCCCCAACTTGCTAGTGCCCTCATTAAGTCAAGTTCTTGTTTCCTGAACTCCACGGTCTGTGCTCTGCTACTCTCTTCCCTATGTCCCTGGGTATCTGGGAGATCACAGTTTCACTACAACCAAGGCTGCTACACATCCCTGACCAGCTCGTTCATGTTTCAGAGTCACCAGGGAGCACATGACTGGGTGGCCCATTTAGCAGCTGTGCTCGGAGGTGTAGACAAACCCTGAGATAAACCTCGGGAGCTGCCTGCATCCTGTTGACTTACCTGACCAGTGAATACTAGGGAGATACAGTCTACCAGAAGACCCAGGGTCTGTGATCCACTGATAAGCCTTAGTTCATGTAAGACCTGGAAGTCTGTTCTGGGTCTTGTTGGGTTGGAGTTAGTTGTCTTCATAGCAGCATACAGGGAGATCTGCTGTGGATTTGTTACTAAACCAGCACTGATATGTCCTACTTTCAGCTGGGATAGAGTTATTTTTCTTCATAGTAGCTAGCACAGTGCTGTGGTTTGGATTTAGGACCAGAAGAATGTTGATAACACACTGATGTTTTCAGCTGTTGCCAAGTAGTGCTCAGACTATTCAAGGACTTTTTGAGCTTCTCCTGCTCGGCCAGGTGCATAACAAGCTGGGAGTACAGCACAGCTAGGACAGCTAACCCAAACTGTCCGAAGAGCTATTCCATACCATATAACGTCATGCTCGGGGGGGGGTTAGTCGGTCGGTCGGTTGCGGGGAGAGTAATTGGTGCTTGGTGACTGATCGGTGCTCTGGGAGTGATCGCGGCTCGGGACAGGCTGGGCATCTTATTATTATTTTCTCTTATTAAACTGTCTTTATCTCAGCCCTCGGCTCTAACCTTTTATTTTCTTCCCGATTCTCTCCCCCATCCCACTGAGGGAGGGGGGGGAGTGAGCGAGCGGCTGCGTGGTGCTGAGTTGCCAGCCAGGTTAAACTACGACAACCCGGAACACTGTCCTGGGCCTTGAAAAACAAGTCCTATGGTGACATGGCACTCCAGAAAGAATTGAGTCAGACAACGGAACTCATTTCCAAATATGACCTCGTAGACATCTCGACCAAAGAGCGCGGCACTGAGTGGGTCTATCCCATCCCTTGTCATGCACCAGCCTGCGAAAAAATGGAACTGTTAAAGACTGCCCTGAGAGCAATGGGTGGGCTACACTGAGAGGGCAGTTGGGCTGGCCCTGCCCAATCAAAACTCTTACGTGCTATAGAGGGGTATAAAGTCCCTGTAGAAGGGACATAAAATAAGTGCTGGGGGGTACACTCTGCCTCAATCAAAGGCAAAACCATTTGCGGAATTGCTTTTTCTCAAGGACCTGGCTCCACTTGGTGGATGATGTGGAAGGACGGGGAAGTCCGATATGTACCTCAAGGTGATTTGATTTGGGGTGAGAATAGCCCATGACGTGGATGATATGCTGTTAATGGCCATACAGCACTGTATGTTGCCATTTTTATGATTGCTGTATGTGATATCAATGGTAATACAGTAACAATCGTCCAGATTAATGAGGCATTAACTTTGGTTAAATGGATCAATTGCAGCAGTGATGGAACCAGAACAGGCTTCAGCATGCAACAATCCGACACCACACAACACCTCTTCTGCCCTGAAAGACTGTGATGACAGATGGAGCCCAAAGTTATGGACAACATGAACTCAGCAGATGTTTTAGAAGGATGGCCCATAGACTGAGGGAATGATATCTGTGTGTATATTAAAAGACAGGGAAAGTGGTGTTGATTAATTGGAAAGTATTGGAGAGTGTGGGACCTGGACATGACAGATGGTATGGGATAAGGGGTGGATACTGTCCTGGTTCCAGCTGGGAAAGATTTAAAGAGTTAATTTTCTTCCTTATCTTTATTATTCATCATCTTTATTTTTATTATTACTATCATTATTATTGTTCTTCCCATTTCTGTCCCATTAAACTATCTATATCTATATATCTATATCTGTATCTATATCTATATCTAAACACAAATTTATTTTTTATTTCTATGCACAATTCTCTCCCCTATGCCACTGGCGAGGTGGGGAGTGAGCGAACAGATGTGTGGTGTTTAGCTGGCTGCCAGGTTAAACTGCAGAGGTGAGCAGAAGAGGCTCGGAGCGGCAACCAGGGTCAAACAAGTTTTCAGGTCAGAGCCCTGTTTCTGAGAATCAGGGAGGTCTAAGGCCCTACTAGGAAGTCAACGTACACGTCCCGATCAGGCCTTTGAGGGCAAGCAGGGTCAGGTGCTGTCAAGTGATAGCCAGGCAGGTCTGTAGTGGCAACACAGGTCCAGGACACAGCAAGAAAGACAGTGGCTGCATCTGAGTCCAGATGAACAGGGTCCAGAGCAAGGCATGGCTGTGGCCAGACCAGTGTTACTGCATCACATATCAGGCAGGGATTGAAGGCCCGGGCCTGAGCTTAAACGAAACCCCTGGACCCACAGGCAGAGGCAGTGGGTGAAGGTCCTACATAAGGTTGGTCCAGGCTGTTAGAGTCTCTAAGTGCTCTCAAGGAACTTGGAGCTATTGCAGGTCTTCAAGGAGGACAGATTGCCCACAAAAAATAAGTCCATGGGGGTATGCAGATGTTACTCTGCCATGACCAGATTCTAGAAACTCCCAATTCATGTCAAGAAAGCACTCAGCTACCATCAGCCCTATCACATACTGTAGAGCCCCAGGCAGGTTAATAGAAGACAATTCTCCACAGGAAATCCCTGAAATACAGGGATGCTGACATCATCACACTGAGTCCATGGAGAAGCAAGAAAAGCAATGAGCCTCTTTAGGGTATGTTCCCTGGGCCTTCTCTTGACAGTAACTTTGAAAGAAGATCTAAGCCTTCGGGCACTGCCCTCAGGTGCCGATTTCCTATGATAGAAATACTGTTATGGAAGCCACCTCTGTCACAAAAAAGCCCCTTGCCTGTCCATGATCGGGG